ACTTTCTTATTAATTTGATCACAAGGGAGTGTTTTTTTTTAAAAAGGGGATCTTAAAGTATCCTTTGTGCTTGTTTGCATATTGCTGTGTAGGGCTGGCTATGTGTGTTTGCATTCATGCCAATGATCAAAATTTGAACCTTGCTCATTGGGCACCATGGCCTGCACAGGCATAGAGCAGCTAGGTGATTTATTACTATTTACAAAAGGCGTTGTTTCACTTCCCTAGATATACACTGCCATTTTATCCATAAAGTAAAATGACCTTGGAAGTCAGTGACTGCCTTATTGGGATGTTGAATATTTCTGCATTACCAAAATTGTCTTGACTGTTTCATCTGTAAACACATCTGATCATTATTTTGAATATTCATCAGGCTTTATATCCTATTTGTTTTGAGGATATGCAGTACTTCTCTAAAGTAAAACTTGAGTCAAAACATTTTAAGCCTTGAAGAATGGGGAAGTGTTAGAGCTGTTGTCCGGCTTTTATTGCCATATGTATCCCCAATGGGCAGATTTTCTATCATTTACTGTTCCAAGAGATGACAAACGAAAAAGTCTTGGCAGCAACAAAAACCTGTCAGGGGTTCTATGTACTTCCCAGTGGCTATGAAAAGTACATGTATTGCTGGCTGTGTCGCTGCTGAGATTTTTCCTTACATCCTGTTGTGTCCCTGTGGAGAAGATTTCCTCACGCTCTTTCGTAGAGACAGAGCAACAAAAACTTAGATGTTCTAACTTTTCTCAACTTTATCCAAAACAAACCGGTTTAAGAAAACTGGCATATTTAGGTCCGCTTCACACCCCATAGTGTTGCACTAAGGCCACAGCACCGTGTATTTAGTGCATGATGTTACAAGGCACAATGCATTGCACGCTAGGTGCTCTGGCGTGTTGCGTTGCCATCCCAGCGTGCTTTTGCATTGCAATACACAGTTCCGAATAGCTTGCCATGCAGTGATAATAAATGAAGCTTGCGCTATTCTTTTTTCATAGTATGCAAGTTTGAATAAAGACACAGGTCCATCCAGTTCAACCTGTGTGAATGTATATATACCGTACTTTGCTCTAGTACTTCCCATATTTTCAACGCACTCTATTGTAGTACTATGTGTTGTAGCACAGTGCCAGCCAGAGGGTGAATTGGGGTGCCATTTAGAATGAATGGCAACGCAAAGCAGCAGTGCACCCAGCGTGTGGTGCATTACGCTGTTTACTTGCCTTTAGTGCTTCGCTATGGTGTAAACTGGCCCCTGCTAAAGAAAATAGTGTGCTTATATTTGGGGGTAGAATTAATGTGTTTTTTTTTTTTTTGCATTCACACAATGTTCATTTCACAACCAACTGGTATCTACAGCTTAGTGCAGTGAAACTTTCCTGAGGGTGGAGAGAGTTTGACCTTCAAAGTCTGCAGCAAAAGAGTGTAGGATGTTTATTGATTGATAGTCACAATGAGTTTGACTTTGCATGTGTTATTACAGCAAGGCATTCAAAGTGTTTATGACAAGCTATAGACGCCAAATCACTTGGCTCACCGTGTCATTTGTATTACTATGGCCAGGTTTGTTTAGTGTGACCGGTCTTACTGCACAGCAATGTGCTGAGTAGCTGGAATCAGCTAGCAAGGCCCCAAGGCATCCTGATCCTATTACATACCACACTGCGTTATTGTATTCAAACCAGAATCTTCAATATAATTAAGCTGCTGCCATCTTACAGAATCCGGGTTTAAGTGTGTATGTAAAATTCCGATTTTCACATATGACTAAACAGCAGGCGAGTCGTTTTTAGTGATGTGCACCTACCTACTATATGGAAGAGGAAGTAGCAGAGGGAAAGTGGACAGGAAGGGAATGTTCCAAATAGAGAAGTGAGATTCTGGGCATTTATACTATGTTTAGCAGTACAGATGTCACATTTCCTGATGTTTCTGTATTTAGATTTCCTTTTTATATTTTACAAATGGTAAAGCAACCTAAAATTATTTGTTTTTGTTTCATGAATACTATTGTTTAAGGTTTTATGTTTTTGAGCATTCCTTTTATAGGTTTGCTGCTGCTTTTCAAATTTGTATGTACATTTATATATAACATATTATAGGGTTACCAGTACCTCCAGTCACTATTTTCTCAACTGCAATTGGAATGAAAACTGCTCCTATTTTTTGTCTGCATGTTTGACATGAATTCATATGGTTTGGAAAGGATGTTTATAATCTACATAGATCTAAACAAAGCATGCAGGGTCTGTTGAGGTTCATTAGCGCAGACCATATACAGCATATCTACTAACTGCTGCCTTATAAACAGGGGCCCAAAAATACACCTTACCCTCAAAATTAGAACCCGTTGGGAATTTTAGCCCCGTTAAGTTGCTCCCTTTTTTCTAGAGCTCATTTACCTCTCTGCTAGCTATGGCATTGTATTGCCACCTATCCATGTCTCCCATTGCTGAGTCACATAAAAGCACTCCAAGGCTGCAGGAAATGAAACATCTCCAGTCAGTCAGAGAGCAGGTCAGAGATATTTCTTCGAGTACTGTTTTTGCACAGCATGAGAACAAGGGAGATGTAATGACACAATTAATAGTTAATAGGGGTCAAATTGACAATAGTTTTCGATTTGTAGTGGCAAAACAAATCAAAGGAGCAGGTTGGAAATTGTTTCTCCAATGAAGGAAGGTTCTAACAGTGAATGTGATTTTCATTCAGGAAACTCCATTCGCTCCACAATCAAATGTTAAAATCACATGAAATTTTGGACCACATGTGCCCAAGTCTCTGATGGCATTATTGAATGTTCTGATGAGATTCTTCATATGAACATTTGTACAAAAAAACTACCAGTGTGTGGCCAGTTTAAATTATACTTGCCTTTGCTCCACCCTTATCTTCCTTCACTGCGGCCGGCAGTGTGATATGATTCCCTATTGAAGTCAGGCTTTTTGAACTGTGCAAAGCACATTGTTACTGTATGTATATACAATACTCTGTTCTAGCCTGTTGCCTGTAATAACAGATATTTATATCTAGAAGTCAGACAAGTATACATCTCTAAACTTAATTAGTGACTATGTGTTGGGAAACATTAGAATTATTATAACAGCGTTACTGAGGTAATTACTTGTAATGCTGGCAATAGTGATGTTGTAAATGTCAGTATAATTACACAGAAGATGACTGCGCAGCAGAGTTCAGTCACTGCCTGTGTATACTTTACAGTGAAGATATTTCTATTCACATTCATACTGCGGTATGAAGATATCGCAGTAATCAATACATATTACATGCTCCGTTTTTCATTTAAACATATGTGTTTGTATAATTTAATAAAAAGTGGAACCTGCTTTACTCTAATCACAACTAAATGCATTCTCTAGCAGTTGATCAGACTTTTACAGTGGTTAAAGCAGTATTAAATGCTCAAACTTTTTTTTCAATAATTAGCCTGCATCGAACAAATATACATTGCCCAGCAGAGTATTTCTTTACTTTCTTGCTCAGGCACTTAGTCATCATGTTTCCAAACAGCTGGCTCCAACTCTCTCAACTTGGCTTCCCTGAACTTCCTGTCCTGTACAAGGTCACAAGGTAGAGCACAGTCTCCAGCAGCTGTACATCTACTAGCAAGGAGGGGGGAGCAGAGGAGTGTTCCACCTTGCTGTGCCTGGGTGTTTGTCTTGACCCACACAGCTTACTAGCACACACAAGGGTGGCTCCATATGGCCCTACAAGATAAAAGAGCCACCCTGAGGGCCCAGTCACACCATATCCAGTGCGTCCCAGTGCAGTTCGCACCCAGAGTGCACTGGATCGCATACATGAAGCTGGGCCGCGAAGGGGCATGTTGGTGCCATTCATGTCAATGGCACCGCAGACACGCCCGCATGCTGGATGCACTTTTTTTTTCAGATCACACTGCACTGGAATGGAGGGCATTCCTGTACCTCGCGTACCGGTGCAGGCGATCACACTGCGGGCGGGCGTGTCTGTGGTGCCATTGACATGAATGGCACCAACACGCCCCCTCCCACCCCAGAACACGGCCTGGCTTCAGTGCGTTCTGGTTGCGAACTGCACCATGACATGCTGGATATGGCGTGACTGGGCCCTGAAACAGGATATCAGGGCCCAGCTGATTTTGGAGGAAACGAAAACTTTTAAACGTCAAAGAGCAGCATCCATTGTAAAAGGTTTAAACAGAATTTCAAATGGCTTAAAAACCTTTTGACTGTAATATCACTGTAAAGTCTTACAAGGTCAGCATATGCATACACATTCCCATGATTCCTCATATGATGGCTTCTTCCATTTCATCTCTCTGAATAAATAACTTCTGGGTGGGAAAATTACAGGGGACCCATACACCTTGCAGTGATTGCAAAGTCAAAAACCATCCTGAAAACAAAAAGAGGGAAAGAGGGTCATGTTCATGAAGGCTGGGCATGATTCAATGATAGTAAAAGTGACCAGAAGATGTAAAGGCATGCAGAGTAATGAGGGCAGTGGAATTCATCTTAGTAGGAGGGCGCAGGCTGGACATCAGATGCTAGACCTCGTGTTATACTACAGCACCAATTGTCAGATGTATCAATCTTATTTTAAATAAGACACCCCCAAAACTACATCTGACAAAATTACTTTTATAAGAAGGAAGATTTGTTGGAGAACTGCCGTGGAATTAAGTGGAAACTGTACATAAAGTGTAATACAGCTTTGTTTAAACATTTCAGATCGCTTCTACAATTTTTAGACACAACTTTGTAAATAAATGTGATGAAAGATTGATGACAGATGAGAAGATTAAATTAGGCTTGCCAGCTCTTGCTTATGTTGCCTTCATGCTTTGTTGCGATCTAATGAGGCCATGTGGTCCTACAGATTTTATCTACCCTGCAAGTTGCTGGCTATTACACCAGTCATTTATCGTGGTGGTGGACTGTGGGTCTGTGTGTTTTGTATAGCTTACATAAGTAATGAGCATGTTTCTCTCCACTTAGAACCATATGAAGAAACAGAGGAGCGGTGGTATTCATCCCTGGAAAACACCCGATGGCTGGAGTATGTCAGGTACGCACTGTTTAATATGAATTTAGTTATGTTTAAGTGCTTATGTTCTATTATCAATGAATAATATGATAGCCCAATAACAGACGTTTGATGTCCACAGTCTTAAGTAAATTTCATCCAAAAATATTTTTATGGGATGCATTTATCTTTGTGTTTGTTGCTGTGTCTCCGTCGTTTGCCTGATAGTAGTAAGTAGTAAATGGTCTGTACAGCAGCGAAGCATAAATCAGGAAGTGAGTTTGTTGACCTTGTAGGAGGCAATGACCTGTAAAGTTAGGTTATGTGTAAGGCAGGCTGGAATGTGTCAGTGATAGGATAATGATGCGATTGGAAAACTAAAGCTTGAGGAAGAAGGATCAAGGTAAATCTGCTCTTTTAAAGAGACGGTGTTCATTTTACTCGCATAGACAATGTATTGGAGTAAGAAATTATTTACTACATTACATGGAAATCGGTTTGATGTGGTTATCTACAATAAACATTAGCTACTCTTGTGGCGAAAATCAGATCATTGTTTTGCTCGTCCATTCAGGGACACAGTAAATCTTGAATTCTCAGGTTATACTGCCACCTACAGAAGGATTTTACACTGCCCTGCATTGTGCCCAAATGTTACCTCCAGGCTTTCCTTGTATGAGGATGAGAATGACTGCGACAGAAAATTGCAATGTACAAGACAAAGTTCTAGCAGCGAGGTAGAATATAGTGTAATTATAGTGGTAATTATAGTGTTGACTCTGTTCACACCAAGGCGGCATCGTTTATGCGCGTTTTGTAGTATGGCTTTTTGCACGTTTGGTACATTTTTACGTGCATGAACATGCGCTTTTTGACTGGCAATTCGCGAAACATTGAGGCACAAAACGCACACGAAAATATGCAACATGCTTCTGCTGGGCGTTTCCTGTCTTTTCCATTGATGTCTATGGGGGGAGAAACATGCTTGAAACTGCCAAAAAAAATCATGTGCTTTTTTTCTGCGCTTGGCGTTTTGCTGCTCAGGTGTGGACAGGGGCCATTGAAAATCATGGGAGTGCTTGTGTTGGGCACGTAAAAGTGCTTTTTCTACTACTTAAAAATGCGGAGGTATGAACCCAGGCCTTAAGGCTGTAAAGTCTTTTCCTTTGCACCTGCATTTCCAACTTAGAAGCCTCTCATCTAATTTCTCGCTGTCTCATATCAGTTCATATGCGAATGTTACTTTGGCTAAAGTGCTGGACGGCAGAACCCTTGTGTAAAAAAAACTTTTGATCCACATGGCTTTCAAGTGATATCTACTTGGACCAGCTCCTGACAATATCAAGGATGCTCAGCAGAAGAAGCCAAGGGAACACACCACAAATGTCTTCTCCCTCTATATCTAAAGATTTTTCTCCACTCCCTTGAGCCCCTATGACAAGAACCCCCCCAAGCTTGGCTCCTTGTCCACCCACCACAAGGTCTGGCACTCAAACTCTGCTAAATTCTCGCACAAGCCTTGATCTCCATGAAGGTGCGTTCTAACTTTCCAGAGTGTGGGACATTTGTTAACCATAGAAGGAATTTTCACAGCTTGCGTCTCAGAGGCTTTGGTATGGTGAGATGGTTTCCCAGGGTTGCAAACTGGAGCTTCTCTCCCAGTCCCCTCCTGGATTTCTCACCTTCAACCTTCCTGTGTAACGGCAAAGATTAGCTGATGTCTGTCGAGCCCTCTTGGGTCTTCTGGATCAGTTTGCCATTGCCTCAGTCCCTGTGGCAGAACGGTTTTCAGAGGTCTTACTAAACCTGTTCACTGTTCCAAACTCAAAGGAGCATCTGCCCCATCTTGGTTCTCAGATCTCTGCAATTGTCTTGTTCCTAGCACTATCTGTGGTTTTATCTACGTTTTTCTATTCGGTTTCAGAAGTGTTGGCCTCTCACTCTTCGGTTTTTTTGGGGGGTTTTTTTGCTTGTCAGTGTCCAATCTTCCTGTTGGCAGCAGTATAACCTGAATGTTAGAGACGTCATGTGTCCCTCAGTGGACCCCAAGAAAAGAAACTTACAGCAAGTAAAAAAATTATTTTCTACTGTGGAAAACCTCCCCCCCCCCCCCCCCCCCCCCCCCC